ATGCTTGATAGTTAACACGCTAAAACACAACACCAAACTGCGACCAAGTGCAATCGCAGTCTGGAAATGCAGTAAGTGGCAAGCTCTATTTGTCAACCCGGGGCCTAGATCTACTGCCTACTCCGTGATTATTTATTATCTAGCAAACTAAGTCGAGTGATTGTGGTTTTAACTAAAAGCAGTAAGAAAGCAGAAAATTGTTCGGTTTTCTAAAGCAATGGAAGAGTCACTCGGGAATGAGTCCCCCTATCTCCTTAATTAGGTCGAGGTTGTAATTACCCTGGGTTGATTAACTGTTGACTAAACTGCGGAAGATCCGACATTAGCTTGGAATCTCTTAAGCTGACCAAGCCCTCTCAGTCCAACTACCCGGCAGACGACTAGTCTTCACCGGGATAGAAAGCTGAGGCTATGAACACAGAACTCCACTACTGGAATTGGATTCCAATACAAAGCAGTAAATCAATTAACTCTCGTATAATCAATCTACCACTACCGATTGATGAAGCTCTAACAACCTAATCAGATTCTATCTATCTAAGGTTGCAGCAGAAATCAAGAAAAGATGGTCATACTTCAATTGACTCAATGAATCATGCATCAATCGATTAAAATCAATAAGTATAACAATCCCAAGTCATTACAATCAAGATCCCTAACACATGGAACTAGGGTTCTTCATACCCAAGTGAGAGAAGGTTCTACTCCATAGAGAGAGAGAGAGAGAGAGAGAGAGAGAGAGAGAGAGGAAAACAGAAATCAGAGTAGTCATACTTAATTACTCATAAAGATAAGGATATTCTGCTCTGGGATGTCGATCTTCACTCCTGGGATGAAATTTGGGCTTCAATGATGAAAAATTCACTCCAAAGAGCTCCTAGGGTTTGTTCTTCGCACTTTCTCTCTCTAAAACTCTGTTTTTGCTCCAAAAAGTCGACTCTCTTTCCTTTGGCTCGAATCTGCCTAAAAAACCCGATTTTGGGAAAAATACGGGCTGAATTACGGTCGTAAACATGGTTCCCGTATTTCACCCAAAACACGTGTTTCACTTAACACTAATGAGAGGAATTACGGTCGTAATTACCCAATTACTGCCAGTATTTGTGGAATTACGACCGTAGTTCATTTTGCTCTTGCCCGTATTTTGATCTTCGAAGGCATTCTCAGGGATTTGACTCGGCATTGCATTTACGGTCAGGGCAGAGGCAATTACGCCCGTAATTGGGCAGGGGATGCCCGTATTTCTTCCTCCGCTCCTGTTTAATGCTTTGTTTCTCCCTCGTCCGGACTCCGAATCAGTCGTCGTTTGATCCCAGACGCTCGTAGTCTTGTCCACTTTCTTTTCATGACAAGATTCCATGATTATTTGTCCATAATATGAGGTAGAAATCCATTCTTCCTCAGGTCATGCTCGTGTTTCTTCTCTCGAATTGCCAAATGATCTCCGATTGAGTTGAAACTTGCGCATATGCTTCAATTTACATGCTAGGACCTGAAATGTGACTAAGGAGCACAACCTAGCGTAAAATAGTCCAAGAAATCAAAAACTCAAGCCAAAATGATAAAAAAAACGAGGGTGCAAACATGTGCAAATACGACGTTATCAATAGTCGCGACAACCATCCTGGATTTTAACTATCGATGGCCTTGGGATGTTATGGATGACACACATGTGTGAGTGTTCACCGCACGGGATATGACCCAATGACCGACTCTCTTGTTCTTGATGGCCCGGACCCTAGTTTTGCATCCCTCGTGATGATTTTGGTATCTAACCATGAGCCTCTTTGTGTCGGAATGGGTTGTGTGTCATTCAAAACTCCGAGTCATTGCTTCAGTGGCAATAGCGTGCCACACTTCATTCTTCGTTCCAAATTGTTGGCCCTTCGTAAATCCAGTTAGCGGACCCCATACTGGCACCTCTGGTGGCTCCATGTCGCAGCAACATACCAATCTTCATTTGGAATGTGATTGTAGTAAGGTTTAGGTACACGGTCACGAGACACCTCGGCACCGTCTGCGTCTAAATCTTGACCAAAATCATCAGCACCTTCAAGAGGATCGAAACTTTTTGCACTGACATCACCATCCTCTTCTTCATCCTCAGGTGTCACTATCTGGAATTGGGAGGGCATCTTCCATCTTATCCAGATCATGAAATGCACCTTCATCAGCTCCGTAATGGTAGTTGTGGTAACTACCATCGTCTTGGTAGAAGTTGTACTCGGGTTAGTATTGGTAGCCTTCTTGTTGGTTGCCATGGTACCGTTGAGCTTCTTCTTCATATGATGGGAATGATTGATGATGACCTCCACCTCCATCATGATACTCCTGGTATGAATGAGGAGATTGGTACTCCTGGTGGGGATGATTTTCGTATAATCCACTCCACCGTGGATACCAGATGTTTGACCATATCCAGAATGACCTCCACCGCCATCAACCGCCTCGATGTAAACGAACATCTCTACCTATTTAATGTTGTTGGTCATCAAAAATTGGAGCATGGCATTAACGTCTGCCTGAGTGGTAATGAGAAATTCCTCATTCCACAACGGCCCGCCATGTCTGTTTGGATATCGATACACCATACGATCAACTCTTCTCGTGTCATCCATGCACGTAACCTCTGTACACATTTATGGAGCTCTTCAAGCATCGGTCTCGTAGCGACCTTCATTTTATAAAAATTGCCACCGACGTAACGTACCCCCTTTCCGGTCTCTTCCTTGTTACCATTCAACCGTAACCCAAGCGTGAACTTTTGGAATGCCATCTGCAATAACACCGTAATTAAGTTATTACCATGAAAATCACAAATCACAATAAAAAGTGATACAAAACAAACTTACGAATTAACGTTAATCGCAAAAACTCAAAATTAATGGTGCACAACTGACGGGTGAATAAGGACAAGGCATAAACCGTGGGGGGGGGGGGGGTGCAGTTGGTACCTCGACAATGTAAACCGCGTGTTTGTGGTGCGGTTTATGCTGCCGACGAAAAACCGCACCCCAAGGACGCGGTTTGTGCTAGGGCTGCCACATGAACCGCTCCTTCATATGGCAGTTTTCCCATATATAGTAAACCACCACCTCAGGATGCGGTTTATATGTGAACCGCTCCTTAGGGGTACAGTTTGAAGGAGAGCCTCCCCTTAGGGGTGCGGTTTTCGATTGATGGTGGTATTTTTGTAAATGTTTTGGGTTGGGTGGTAATTTTGTAATTTTTTTTAAACGATGGTACTTTTAGATTTTCACCCCCTAAGTTTGTTAGATTATATATCTCACCAAGTATGTTTTTAATAATTTGAGCACGTGATCAAATATGTATCATTCCTAATTTAAAAGGAAAAATATGTATTATAAATTGCTCATATACTAATTACTAACATGATATGAACAATTATAAATTATAGATTAAATGATATAATATATTAGTTCGAGCCAATATCGTTAGCTAATCAATGAACCGAGCTCAAGTGAAGCTCGTGAGCTCATTAATGAGCCGATCGAGAGTTGAACTAGGGTTAAATAGAAGCCAAACTCGAATTGGACTCATGTGTTAACGAACCGAGGTTAAACTATAAGTCAAAACTCACTCATGTCGACTCGTTTGTAACCCTAGTATTTACCCGGAATGGACTCGGTCGTGGGCTCGTGGCTTGAGACGTTGAATCGTTTTGTTCCAGCAGTAAAAATAGTAAAGAGAGCAGAGTAGAGTAGTAGCAGTCGACCAGTCGTAGTACTCGATCTGTTGAAGAAGATGACAGAGAGACACACACACACGTGGGCGTTCCATGATCTTAGCTGACCTTTCTGGCCCCGCCGTGCCGTGCCTCCGCCTGCAAGACTTCCACAGCACCACAACCACCCTTCCGCTCCTGTCCAATCAACCTTTTTTTTTTAATTTCTGGAAAAGGGTACATTATTTGTTACAGCAATTTAATTTTACATGTATGGACGGCGATGGATGCAGGTGGACTCAATAGCGAGAGGTCATTGTAAAATTATATCAGAGTTTAATAATGTCATAAAATCATCGGCCCAGAGTTGTTGTCACGACTAGGGTGTGTTATGACTTATGACCACGCTTCAATTAGTATTAGTGAGGGTTTTATCGGGAGCGGTTCCGGGATAGGGTAAAAATGATATTCTGGTGCTTATGATTTTGATAGTGATGTTATGTTTTATTGGTAATGTTACATTATGATATCGATGTATATTTGTTTTGATGAATTGATATTCAATCATGAAAGTGAGTTAGATGTGTTGCATAATGGTTGTCGGATATGCATGATTTGGCATTCGTTCAGTACCATTAAAATCAGTTGTTTTGCTTGTCCCTTTGTTTTAATGGTATTAGTGTCTGTAGTTATGTGTTGGTAAACATATTGTTGACGTCGATCTTCATCAGACGTCATAGGAGTATGATTTAGTATTGTTTCGGTAATGATACGTATTTTTATCAGTATATATGTTTGGTTTGATAGGTATTGGTGTGGTCATACGTTGTTAATAGATGTGTAATTTTCTTGTCCCCGTTGTCGAGCTAATACCACTGAAAAAATCAAACAAGAAATAAATACCAAACCTATAACAATACAATACCACTTCAAAAATATCACTACCATTGCACAAATAAAACCAGAAATCAATATCAAACTAGTAAAAATACACTACCACATCCAAAAATATCAATATCATTGTAGAAATAAAACAAGAAATCAATACCAAAACATAAAAAAAACTATACCAATACAACTACGAAAAAAATAGTACCATTACACGGCAAAAACTACTAATATAAACAATCTATACCATTATAAGAATCAAACTAATACCAAAATCAACCAACACCACTACTACAATAAAAACAAAACAATCCATTCCATAAATAAAATCAATACCACTCTGAAAAACAAATCAATACCATTCCATACCACTATGAAAAGCAAATATGGACTTTCAGAAATCAATTGCGAGCACACAAAGAAGACAATGACATCGTCGCCGAATGATAAGGCTGCTGTTGTGCGCCCTCCTTGGTCGATCGAAATTCTCATCCTCGCCGCTCCAACGACGCCTCCTCCATCGACGTCATCGTGGACCCCAGCCCCAACCTCTGGTTCTATCTCCACACCCCAACTACCCTTGGTCCACGAACGACCCTCCACCGCTCAGCGGCAACGTCACGTTGATGAAGAAGAAGCCTTCGCAGTTGATGAATAACCGTGACTGCACCAGATCATCCCCTTAGCCCGCGACGGAGGGAGGGTAACAACGGGGAGACGAGGGGAGAGAGAGGGATGGAGGGCGGTAGGCGACAGCCATAGCCGATGAGAGAGGGGGGAAGGCAGGCGCCGTGCGGCAGCTGTCGCCGGGAAGAGAGGCAAGGACGCGGCTGAGAGAGCCGGAGAGAGATGTATATTGATAGGGTTGGAAAGAGAAGGAGATTAAAGGAAATAGCATTCAGATGCGGTAATTTTTTATTTCCAAAATTGTCCTAAAAGAATATTGACCGTAAGATTAAAAAAGAAGGAAAAATATAAAATCAAATGGTGTATAAAAAGGTTATCACCGTGATTACTAAAAAACAAGTCGCCACCCTAACCCATTCCGATTTTATTGGTTAAACGCTCATAGCGATTCAATGTTGAATTCGAAAAAAAATGTTTGACATTTTGCTTACGTATTGATGAACCACACCTCAGGGAAGTATTCTCTAGCGAGACAGGTCAACCCGATGCAGTGGCGGATACATGGACCTTTAGGGGTGTCCCGGGACACCCCTAAAATTTGGGAAAATGATTATCCAACTCCCAGTAGTAATTTTTATGGATAAAAAAATTATAATTGATAATCCGAGACACCCTTATTTTGAAAAAAAACAATTATCCTACTTTCGAGTTTCGATAGTAGTTTTGTGTATGATTAAAAAAAGTGGTAATTTATATTATTCAAACCTAGGACGCTACTATTATTAAACATATTCTCTAGGTTACAACTTATAACTCATTTCTTGCTCTATTTTAAACACCGTACAATAGTAAAAATATTATTCCTTACCCCAAACTATTTTCAAAACATAACAATTAAACTAATTACGGGATATCCTTAATTTGAATTGATTTTATGATTTCACGGCAGGAGTTAAAAGAGTCTTTCAACTTTGAGTTACATAAAGAACACGGTTAGAAAGCAAAGATGCGATCATTTCGTGAATTATTGTCTAGAATGATATATAGATTTGTTGAGCAGTGTAGGCATCGAGTCTATTTTATATTTGTTTTTTTCAGAATATGAAAACATGTGATGACCTTTTGTTAAATTTTGTACTAGTCGAATATTTTTTGTTATATATGATTTAATTTAATTATTTATTATTTAATTTTAAAATAGGACACCCCTATAAAAAATTCATAAATCCGCCACTGACCTGATGGCTTGTTGAATTCAATTGTTAGTTGGATCATTTTGAGCTCATGAATTAGTTCGATAGTGTGGTTAGCGAGCTAGGTCAATTACCGGTTATAGGTGAATTGATTATAATTCATAAATATATTAAATTATATATCACACTCAGGACTGCTCATGAGGAGCTCGGCGTTCAGTTCGGGAAACACATGGTTCGATATGTAACTCATTTACTAACAACTTGAGTTTGAGCTATGTATTGTTTAGCTAGCAAGCTAGCTCGACTTATGACTTGTCAACTCGTGAGCTAGCTTGACTTGTGAGTTATGGAACACGACAAATGAATACTAGACGTGATGGAATAGTGGACAAATTGTAGGATGACTTCCAAAATGGACACCCTTGACATTTGTGATTGTACTTCTACTTATTTGATATTGAAGTATGTACTAGTGTCAGAAAGTTAAACAAATTCTTATTTTTAGGTCTGGTATCCAACTAAACAAGTTTTCATTTTCAGATTACAGTTTCCAAATTCACTAAAAATCCCAGCTAAACAGATTTTCAAATCAGGTCTTCATAAATCGTTTTTCAGAAAATGACAACTTGTTTTTCTCCATATTTCGTTTTATGTTGCCAAAATAACAGAAAACAGAATGAAAAATAAACGGAGCCAAATTCTTCGTATTATTGTGAATGTACCCGTTAACTTGCCATTTCGTTTTCTATAGCTGCCACAACAGAAAATATCAGAAAATGAAAACGAAGTTGTTATTTTCTGAAAAATAAAACCTGCAGAAAACATGTTTACCTGGGAATTTTGGTGAGTTCTGAAATTGCATTGTGAAAATGAAAACTTGTTTAGTTAGTTCATCCTGTTTTTCGATACTTGATTATCACAATTTTTTCATTGAGTATCATACAACTCTAATCATTTGTATACATTTTAATACGAATCACATATCCACATTGTTATAAAAAAGCAAACACATGACATTCTAATTGCTCTCCTGCTAATATTGAAGAATTTGACAACACAATTCACTTACATAAGGGGTCGTTTGGATGAAGAATTCTAATGGATCAATCTGACATAATTGTCTCGTTTTGAGCCAATTGTGCTAGATTGATCCGTTTGGCAGCAGAAAATTTGGATGAAGCAATTTAGGCTGGGGAATTCTGAATTGACTCATTTTGAGCCAATAACAATTGACTGGGGTGGGGGCAGGTAATCTGAATTGACTCGTTTTAAATGACTCGTTTTGTAAAATGAACCAATTGATCAAATTGTCTCGTTTTACAATTGATCCATCCAAACGACCCCGGTACATTATATACACTAGGTCTCATTGTCCGCACTCCGCGCTAAAGGTGTACATATTTGATTAATTCAACATGAAAAAAGAACCATCAAAAGCAAGTAAACGGTTACAATTGGTGATCTAAATACACAATAAAAGGAATTGGATCATCTACATAAAATTATGCAGCACACTGATTGGAATCTGTTGGGGATGTGACTAGGATCTCACCACGTCGAAGAAATACCCAAAGATGCTCACGCCAAAGTCAAACGCGCGAGTCACGACGGAGCCAAGCGCGAGCGTAAAGACCGCCCCCAGAGACCGCGCATGGACGCTAAACGACGGCGCTTTGGACAAGCGTGGGCCCTTGCCGAGAAGTCTTAGAAGCGGCGCCGCGTCACCCAAAGGGTAGTCACCATCATAGTCCTAGGTATAGTCATGGCTAAAGGTCTTGTCACCCATAGGGGGATGGTCTAGGTCCCTGACATGTCAGCGGTCATGTCACCATACCGTAGTGGTCACGTCATCGTACCGTCATGTAACTCACCCACCACCATGTAGCCTATAAATACGGCATTTACTCCGGTGGGTGAGGGGATCGGATTTTTTGGAGAATCACACTCTATCTCTAGAAAGAACGAACTTCTCTCACTAAAAACACTCTCTCAACTCTATTCTTCCTTCCATTTGTCTCAAAGTTCTCGTTTAACCAAGTCATTCACTCTTCTCGACCCGTTCTCGTGAACCTCACTCCTACACTCAGTTAGGTTCAAACAATTGGCGCCCACCGTGGGGCCGAGAAGAAAAATGGCAGAACAAGACTCCAACATACCCGGCGAGGTAACCCCCATCAAGGCGATGACGGACCCTAGGGTGTTCGCGGAACTCGCGGAAGCCAGCAACCGCGACGCGTTACTCATTGAGGAAGAAGAGCCTGAACTGACGGCCAAGGAGATGAGGCAGCTGGTGACAAAGCAAAATGGCGTCATCGCCGACATGCAAAAGCAGATGAGCCAAGTTATCGCGCTCATGATGAGCAGAGAAGCAGCGGCAGCACCGAATGCGGCGCCTGTCTTGTTACAGCTAACGCAAGGAGGGGCATCAGGCGCAGCCCCACTACCACATCAAGCAGCGGTCGAGTTGCCCGCACCTGAAGCCCAGCGATGCGAACCGCCAGGAAGGGCGGACCTCAGCTTCTTGGAGCAGCACCTGTCCCCACAGTTCCGCCCCAACCCGCCTAGAAAAACCCTACATTAGCCGTTGTGCGCGGAGATTATGGCGGAACACCTAAGCGGGACGCCACCCACCCTCCCGACTTACAACGGGACAACCGATCCAGAGGATCACGTCAGCACCTTCTGCCTGCGGATGCAACTCCAAACCAACTCTAACGAGGCGCTGTGCCGGACATTCCCATCAACATTTTCCGGGATATGCCTCGACTGGTATAACCGCCTCCCCAATGGAATCATCCGTTCGTTCGAAGAGTTCATACTCTTGTTCACAACGAAGTTCGCATCGCAAAAAATAAGGCCACTCCACCTCAAGGCGCTAATAGAAATCCGCCAAAAGGACGGAGAAAGCTTGCGGGCGTTCTACGCCAGGTGGTCCAGGGTGGCAATGGCCGTAAGAGATCTTACCCCAGAAACCGCCGCCCATCACCTCATGGATGCCACCACTAGCATGGAGCTCAAAAGAGCGCTAGCAAAGAGACCGATCACGCTGTCAACGGAGCTAGAAGTCAAGATCGAGAAATCCATCACTTTGGAAGAGACGCTGGGCACGGGTTCCGTCAAGCGCTTTGAACCCGCCAAAATGCTCAAAGAATACCAAGCGCGTAAGCAGCTTCCTGTGCCGCGAGACCAGCTGATACAAGCACACAACGGCGCCAGACGCCCACCACCCCCGCCAGAACAAGTCCATCGGGGGCGATCGCCAGATAGGCATCCGCCAAACTACACACCCCTTAACGACTCCGTGAAGAACGTCTACCACGTTCTGCACGAGAAGGGTTACAAAATCAACTTGCCCGCACCTATGAAGACCCTCCCGCACATGCGGGACCCCAAGAAGCGCTGCGAATTCCACAGAGACACGGGTCACTGGACGGAAAACTGCAGAGAATTGCGTTATGAGATCGAAGGCCTCATACAAAGGGGACTGCTGAATGAGTTCATTCGCGGAGCGGAGGAACAGGTAGAGCGTCCTGTGGAACCCCCACCACCGCCACAAGCTGACTACGACGACGCCACAGGCTCGTACGTAGTGAGAAAAGAAATTGGGGTAGTAACGATAGAAGGGGACCGCCCAAAGAAAAAAACCAAACGCGAACACGCCATAGAATGTGCGGCGGCGGAGGCCCCACCGAAGTGCAACCTGAGCTTCGACGACGCTGAGCTCCCCGGAGGGATCCCATCAGAAGACCCGCTCATCATCACCGCGCTCGTCGCCGCCTGTAAGGTTCGCCGCCTACTGATAGACGGAGGCAGCGCGACGGACATTCTTTTCAAG